CGTGAAAGTAAAATACTCCTCTAACCTAATTCTCGCTGACATAACCATTAAACACATGCCCCAGTCAGTGGAGATATTTTCATATATACGTTTTAATAGACTACAGCCTAAATCAGATTTTAAATTTCGATGCAACGGCTCTCTACTGGAAGTGAACGGCCTAAGGACCCTCGTCTTAAAGGAGAAAGCCTGGACCTCTGTGCTGCTGGGTGCAAATGTCAGTGCAAATCTACCCAGGAGGCTGTTTTCATTAGGACTGCACTTGCTTTTGTTTGTGTTCAGATTAAAAAGTTGCACGGGATTCGAGTGGTCTGCCCCAACCCTACTTTTCCCTTAAGCCCTGTTATTTCTATGTGCCACAAGGTAGAGTGGGGTTCTTTAGAAACCTGCGTATTGAATTATAGCAGATAGGCCTGCCTTTGCCTCAGAGCGCACAAAATAAGGCTGCTACCAAGGTGCAGTGTGTATTCGGATTGCTTGATTGGAGGGAGGGGCAGGAAGGGAGGAGCTCTGGGTCATCCACATTCCTAGTTTAGATAAGGAAGGAGTAATTAACAGGTCCCCGTGTGGATCCAACTATCCAACAGTGCCCTCGCTTTGCACAGGCAGCACTCAGAGGGGTCCAGTAGGTTGACATAAGACTTCCAAAGCCCAGTGCCCAGTGGGGCCAACCACACTCCATCCAGGCCTGCCACCTTGTCACCAACTAGTGCCCTGAGGAACTCAAGGGTGGGTTTGGAAGCATTTAACTGTGTTTCCAAGTTGTGTGTGGTTTTTTTGTGTGTGTGTGTGAGGAAGACCAGCCCCGAGCTAACATCCGATGCCAATCCTCCTTTTTTGCTGAGGAAGACTGGCCCTGGGCTAACATCCATGCCCATCTTCCTCTACTTTATATGGGACGCCGCCACAGGATGGCTTAACAAGCGGTGCGTTGGTGTACCCTGGGCATCTGGACTGGTGAACACCGAGCCGCCGCAGCAGAGCGCACGCACTCAACCGCTCGCACCACGGGGCCGGCCCCGCAAATTGTGTTTTTATATTGAAACACAACCAGCAACCACCCTGAAGCTAACCAAGCCTCCCTACAAGAGCTATGCCCATGACCTTAACTTGTTTTTAATGCAAAGATCTCTTCCGGAGATTAAGCCTCATTACCATAATCTGCAGTGTACCCGCCTCTCCCTTTTGAATATTCATTCCCCAATTGAAATAAAAGTTCCTGCTTCCCTTTGTTTGGAGACACCATGACTTTGGAAATGATTCTTCATGGCCTCCTATTTGCTGCAAATGCACTTTACTTTGTGAGACAACTTCCACCGGTGTAGAGTCTCATTTAACTCACCAGGAGGCAAGGCCACTTGGTTCCATATCATCAACCTGGCGGTCAGAACCCAACTCTGCAACGTAGGTAGAAGGAGGAGGGAGATTACATGCTAGATCCAAGTTAACTTTCTTGCTCTACAGGCCATTTCCATGTTCTGCTGTCACAGAATCTTGCCCAAGATTCTTTTTTTTTTTTTTTCCTTGTTTTTGTGAGGAAGATCAGCCCTGATCTAACATCCATGCCAATCCTCCTCTTTTTGCTGAGGAAGACTGGTGCTGGGCTAATATCTGTGCCTCTCTTCCTCCACTTTATATGGGACGCCACCACAGCATGGCCTGACAATTAGTGCCTCGGTGTGCTCCCGGGATCCGAACCCAAGCCTCCAGCAGCAGAGCATGCGCACTTAACCGCTACGCCACGGGGCGGCCCCTTGCCCAAGATTCTATCAGATGTCCCCAAGGCCAGGAGGCTGGCTGCTGATTATGTTCTGACATGCCTGGTGAGTAAACTTCAGAGACATTACAAGGTTTCTATGTTTTCTTACCAAGAACAGAATTTGACCTCTCCTGTCAGTGCTTATACGAAAAGGGGTGTGTCCCTCAGGAATCATGGAGAGAAAGCATGAAAGTCAGGGAGTCACGAGGCTCCTCAGGGACTCAGGTGGCTTCTGTTGGTTACACATTACCCTGGGTAGACAACTCTTTTTTTTTTAATAATAATTTTATTTTATTTATTTTTCCCCAAAGCCCCAGTAGATAGTTGTATGTCATAGCTGCACATCCTTCTAGTTGCTGTATGTGGGACGCGGCCTCAGCATGGCCAGAGAAGTGGTGCGTTGGTGCGCGCCCGGGATCCGAACCCGGGCCGCTTAACTGCTAAGCCACGGGGCCGGCCCTTTTTTTTTAAACTTTGGTAAAAAACACATAACAAAATTTACCATTTTTAAGTGTATAGTTCAGTGGTGTTAAGTATATTCACATTCTCTACTGATCTCCAGAACTTTATCTTGCAAAATTGAGGTTCTATATCCACTAAACAATTCCCCATTTCTCCCTCCCTTCAGCTCTGGCAACCTCCATTCTACTTTTTGTTTCTATGAATTTGACTACTTTAGTTACCTCACGTAAGTGGAATCAAACAGTATTTGTCTTTTGGTGACTGACTTATTTCACTTAGCATAATGCCCTCAAGTTTCATCCATGTTGTAGGCAAGGATGTGGAGAAATTGGAACCCTTGTACATTCCTGGTGGGAACGTAAAAGGGTGCAGCTGCTGTGGAAAACAGTTTGGTGGTTCCTCAAAAAGTTAAACATAGAATTACCATATGATCCAGCAATTCTACTCCTAGATATATACCCAAAAGAATTAAAAACAGGTACTCAAACAAATATATATATACATATATATATGCATGTTCATGACAACACTATTCACAATAACCAGAAAGAAGGTGGAAACAGCCCAAATGTCCACCAATGGATGAATGGATAAACAAATTGTGATATATACACGCAACAGATTATGCAGCTATAAAAAGGATTGAGGTACTGATACACGCTACATGAGCCTCGAAAACATTATGCTAAGTGAAAGAGGCCAGGCACAAAAAGGTCACATATTGTATGATTCTATTTATATGAGAAATCCAGAATAGGTAAATCCATAGAGACAGAGCAGATTGGTGGTGGCCAGGAACTAGGGGGAGAGGGAATGGGGAGTGACTGCTTAATGGGTATGGGTTTTCCTTTGAGAGTGATGAAAATGTTTCGGAAGACAGAGTTGGTGGTTACATGGTGAATGTACTATATGCCAATGAATTGTACACTTTGAAAAGGTTAATTTTATGTTATGTGAATTTCACCTTAATAAAAGAAAGAGAATACTGAAATGCTCTATGATGGTATGCTACTGCCCATCTCTTTCTGACTCTGTGTTTAGTGACCTCACGTTAATAGTGTTGGAGGATAATTTTCAAAAAAAGGTAAAAATTATGACTCGTGTACAAATAAAAACTAAGCATGTGTTTATTATAGATTTTATTTAACTCATTGGTGAGAGACCCAGGCAGATGTTGTAACTGGTTCAAAAGAGAATCCGAAGAGCAGACACATTTATAGATGAAGAATGTTGAAATGAGTTTGCAAATGGATCTAAACAGGCTTCTTGGGAGGGAGGGAAGTCAGAGGGAACCTCCTCTGACAGAATTCAGTTGCATGTCTGTAGACAATTATTTTGCCATAGCATCGGTTATCTACCTGCAGAACTGTAAACTCAAAGGCAGTACGAGGGCAGAGCCCTGTGGAATCAGGAAGTGCGCTGTCAGCAATGCCTGGTTTTCCACTGAAACACACACTTTTCCCTACAGTCGTTTGAAATCGGCCTCGGTGGGAGCATCACAGATATCAGCAAGGGCCCCCCACCTCTCGTCCAGCCCTTGTTGAACACTTCCAGCACCCCGGGGAACCTAGCACTACATGATGCCCCAGGACCAGATAACACACCTTACATTTCCAACCTGGGATCTTGAGGAACACGTTATGTGTCAATGCAAAATAACCAAGAACTATTCTATAGATAAGAGAGATAAATTGAGTTTTACTTGAGCCAGGATGAGGATTATAATCTGGGAAGGCAGTTTCCAGAAAGGAAGAAAGCCTTCCGGAGAAGCATCGCTTTAAATACAGTCTTATACCTTTTTAGAACAATGAACATATATTAAATACACCCAGGATACATATTCATCAAAGTTTCAAAGAGGTATTCAGTCGCAAACTAGCAGACCAACATGACCTTGATGTTGAGAAAGGGACTAATAACGTTACCAATACGGCGTTACCAATAGGGTGTAGGAGGGGAAGTAAGCATTCTTATCTTAAGAGAGTGCGTTCTTTACTTTAATGGTTATAGCAGATGTACAATGTATGTTTGATAGGCCATAAGTCAGGCTTCTTTAGTTCAAGCCGAATCAGTTTTTGAACCCGAGTAGTTACCCCGTATACCTCAATATATGAAAATCTCTTATCATATGGAAGCCAGCAGCCCTACAGAGGCTGCCCAGCCACTCAAGTTCCCCTCGAAGCCAAAGCATGCGAGCATGCCCACACCCTTGAAGCCACTGGAACTGGAGTTCCTGCAGGCCTCACTGTGTGTGGACCAGCAGAAGCCACATCACCTGGGAGCTTGTTAGAAATGCAGATTCCAGGTGCTGGCCTGGTGGCGCAGTGGTTAAGTGTGTGCGCTCCGCTGCGGTGGCCGAGGGTTCGCTGGCTCGAATCCCGGGTGTATACCGACACACTGCTTGTCAAGCCACGCTGTGGCGGCGTCCCATATAAAGTAGAGGAAGATGGGCGCAGATGTTAGCCCAGGGCCAATCTTCCTTGGCGAAAAGAGGAGGATTGGCATCGGATGTTAGCTCAGGGCTGATCTTCCTCACAAAAAAAAAAAAAAAGAAAAAAGAAATGCTGATTCCTGGGCTCCACCCCAGACCTGCTCAATCAGACTTGCGTTTTAACCAGATCCCCAGGTGGTTCCGGCTCTCAAGAAAGTCTGAGAAGCACTACTGTGCTCTTCCTGAATGTGGCATCAATGATTCCTTCGTGGATACCCAGCCCCAAGGCCTCCCAGATCTGTGCCCCACTGAGGCAGACTCACCCCTGGGACTGACACAAAGTCCGCAATGCTCTCCTCGTCGTCGATCATCTGGGCGCTGGTAGGCTAACCTCAGACAGCACTCAGCACCTGCCCTCAGACTCTCACCTCCTGCTTCTCCTCCGGGAGTGGTGGTGCGAGAGGCAGGGAGAGACAAATACTGGTGGCAGGCAGGGTTTCTCTGCTGGCATTTGAGAAGCTCTCCCCGATGCAATGGGCCCAGGCAAATCCAGGGATTCGCTGTCTGCCAGGGAGAAGAAAACCTACAGAAAGGATTAGAGGAAGAGAGCGTCTGCTCCCGTCTCTGGCACAATGGTCATGAGCAACTCCCCAAATGCTTGGGAAACAGCGGCCGCCCAACGAGAATAAATTTCTTCCCTCCCAGGGCCACCATGGCCTGCTGGGGCTGGGCCTGGGGCACTGAAAACAGACTGGTGGAACTGGCTGTGGGCTGGGACAGGGAGTGGAATCTTTCATGTCACTGAGATAACGCAGGAAAGGCCAGCAGTTATAATGACGACAGCTGGAGTGTACTGAGCTCTTCCTCTGGCTCAGGTTGTTGAGCATGGGCTCTCATTTCCCCATTTTATGGGGAATAATAATAATAATAATAATCTCATGATTATCCCCATTTTAAATGAAACCAAGGTCACAATTATTTGCCCAGAGCCATACAATTATAAATGGCGGAGCTGTGGGTGAGCCAGTATCTCTCTTTTCAGAGCCTCATCACTCACAAACCTGGCTGTTGGGTTCACCTGTTTCTGCTGATCCCTTTCCTTGGACCATGGCTTGTCTGCCATGACATGGCCTGAGGCAGACATGGCTGCCTTCAGCAAGCTTGCTTTACTATTCCCAGGAAACTCTGGCCCAGAAAGATAGAAATTGCAAATAACTTTATTGTTCACTCAAAGAACTACACAGAAAGACTCCACAGCTCTTCAATAGAAAGCATCAAATAACAGATTACACCCAAAACTCTTTAAACTCTTGAAGGGGTTCAGAACAAGCCTCCCCAAGATGTGTCACTTTGGCATGTGGAATAGTACGAGCTAAAGGCAATCAAGACCCTGCAGGCTCAAGAGAAACTTTTACCTCTCCCTTAAAGAATTTAAATTGGGGGCCTTGCCCATAATAAGAGTTATTACCAGAAATAACTTTTTATCACCTAGCTGTATGGCACAGCAAGCCTCTAATTACTGAACATCTGCTCTTCTTATCGTCCCGTGAATTACTCTCCTCTCCTCTGAAGCCTCAGGCCCCTATCTCATTCCTTAGCTCAAGATGGTATCTGTACCTCATTTTACCTTTTTGTCTCTGACCCTCTCATGTATGTGGGGTTCCCGTACGTACAAAATTAATTAAATTTTATTTTCTCCTATTAATCTGTCTCATGTCGATTTAATTTTTTAGACTAGCCGGAAGAACCTAGAAAGGTAGAAGAAAATTTCTTGCTCCCCCACACTCTTCATCTTCACCCTCTGGTCTCACTGTGGCCACTAATCTGAAACTATGATATCATGACTGTTGCCAATCCAAGCGCATTGGAAGACCCACCTTAAACCACACTTCAAAATGATCACTAAATATCCCAGTGTTGCCCCCTCCGGCTCTGAGACCCCGCCGAGGACCTGTTGCAGAAGTGCTTTTCCTGATCCTGGCAACAAGGAGCAGCTTTGTCTTATCAACAGGCCCAGCCAGCTCCATGGCTCTGCACCCGTGCAGTCTCCCAGGGCTCTGCACCGAGAAAGGCTACCTCATTTGGCCCCACACATATTAAGAGCTTAGCTATTAGCTACTAAGAATGTCCTGACCCCATAGCATTGGGCAAACCCTTTCTTCATGGAGCCTGGATTCTGGACTCTGCTCCAGTAAGTGATTCTGAGTATTTCTGAGGGGGGGACCCACATGCTTCATTCAGAAAGTGGTTCACCTCTTCCCCAAAGCTTCTAACTTCAGATGTGAAAGGCCTAAGCCCCAGGTGCATGCTGGGCTGGTCCTGATAGGGTCTCACTCTGTGCTGGGAACTGGGTAGGCTGTGGAGGACATGCCAGTAGAGTGGTCCCTGGATCTTCTGGTTTCTGCAGACACCATGCCATCCCAGAGGCCTGCTTAGGAGGCTGAAGAGCAGAGGGAGGTGCCCTTTGGGGTGTCAGCTGGTTACCAGCAAAAGCAAGAGGTGGGGAAGAAAGGGAAAGGAGGGCTTTCCAGGGAGAGGGAACACCATGGGACAGCAGGAATGGCATTGTGATATATAATAAGAAATATATATTTGGTCTTCCTCCCAATCCTAGCACATAGACCCTAAAATCCTTGGAATTTCCTAAGGGTTGAGAGGGCAAATTTGTCTTCATTATATTAGGTTTTTGTTATGTTATATTATGTTATGTTAATGAGGCGCCTTTTGGAAAAGCCCCTAGGTAAGCTAAGGATGGCGCTGGTGGCCAGGGGAACAAAACATGGGATCAGAGGGTCGGAACTTTCAGTCCCACCCCCCAACCTCGTGGGAGGGAGAGGGGCTGGAGATTGAGTTCAATCACCAATAGCCAATGATTTAATCGATCACACCTCTATAATGAAGCCTCCATAGATACCCAAAAGGACGGGGTCTGGAGAGCTTCCAGGGTGGTGAACACAGAGGTTAGGGGAGAGTGGCGCTCAGAGAGGGCACGGAAGCTCCAAGCTCTTTTCCCAGATCTCGCCCCGTGCATCCCTTCCATCTGGCTGTTCCCGAGTTACTTCCTTTTATAACAAACCAGCGATCTGGTGAGTAAAATGTTTCTCTGAGCCAATCCAGCAAATTAATCAAACCCTAAGAGGAGGTCGTGGGCACCTCCAATCTATAGATGGTTGGTCAGAAGCACAGGTGACAACCTGGAGCTGCAGTTGGCTTCTGAAGAGGGCGGGCAGTCTTGTGGGACTGAGCCGGTAGCCTGTGGGCTCTGATGCTATCTCCAGGTACACAGTGTCAGAGTCGAATTGAATTGTAGGACACCCAGCTGGTGTCAGAGAATTGCTTGTTGGTGTTGGAAAAAACACCACACAAGTATGTAATAGTGCGCTGTTTGCCGGGGTAACGAGGGTGGAGAGAACTCCGGAGAGGGAGCCAGGTGCCGGGTCAGAGGCAGCCTGAGGGCAGGCCAGGGGCAGGCATCTCCGCAGTTCTTCAGGCCGGGGTCTGACTGTGTGGTCTGGCCAGACTGTGCTTTGGGTGGCGCGCAGGACCTCCCCCAGCGGGACGAGGAGGCCAGAAGGAAGGTCAGGGAAGAGGTGATGAAAGGTCACTGAGGGAGACAAGATGGACAGGGGAGAGGCACACGGCACCTAATGAGGAGTGGAGGGTCACGGGAAGGTTTCTCAGCACCGGCCAGAGAGGCTTCTTCCCTTTTCTCACAGATAGGCACACAGCATCTAGTTCAGAGAGATGGAGGCAAATGCGAGAGAGAATAGCTAAAAGACCACCAAAGCGGTCGCCTGGAAGAAGCCGGCCAGGGCACGGCTGTTTTAGCGTTATTTAGGTTCGTGTGCCCGCTGGCTGCCCTGAAAAGCCATCTGGCCTTGTTCCCGGGCCGGCTCCCCGCGCGCGGCACTGCCGCGGACTCCGGCAGCTTTGTGGCCAGAGTGCTCGAGCTCTCGCTGCCTTTTCAGTGCGCTGCCTCGGATCCCCGGCGTGCCCCATCCGGTCAGACGCGGCCGCGGACACCAGCTCAGAGATCACCACCAAGGATTTCAAGGAGAAGAAGGAAGTTGTGGAGGAGGCGGAGAATGGAAGAGACGCACCTGCTAATGGGAACGCTAATGAGGAAAATGGGGAGCAGGAGGCTGACAACCAGGTAGATGAAGAGGAGGAAGAAGGTGGGGGGGGGGGGGAGGAGGAGGAAGGCGGCGGTGAGGAAGAGGATGGAGATGAAGATGATGAGGATGATGATGTTGACACCAAGAAGCAGAAGACGATGAGGGTGACTAGACAGCAAAAAGGAAAAAAGTTAAACTCAAAAAAAAGGCCACCGTGACCTAGTCACCCTCCACTTCCCGTCTCAGAATCTAAACGTGGTCACCTTCGAGTAGAGAGTGCGCCCGCCTGCCACCCGCAGATGACACAGGCTCTTCACCACCCAACCAAAACCACAACTGAATTTGCAACAGGGGAGGACAAAACCCCAAAACTTCCAAGGCCCCGCCTTTTTTCTTAAAAGTGCTTTAAAAAGGAAAATTTGTTTGTATTTTTTATTTACATTTCATTTCTTTGTACATATCATTAGGGAGTCAGCCATTTTTAATGATCTCAGATAACCAAACCAGCCTTCAGAGCATTCTCTGTCCTACTTCTGACTATACTTGTGGTGTGACCGTGTTCGTTATAATCTAAAAGGAGAAAAAAACCTTGTAAAGAAAGCAAAAACAGCAACAACAAAACAATCTTATTCCGAGCATTGCAGTAACTTTTTTGTGTATGTACTTAGCTGTACTATAAGTAGTTGGTTTGTGTGAGATGGTTAAAAAGGCCAAAGATAAAAGATTTCTTTTTTTTTTCTTTTTTTTGTCTATGAAGTTGCTGTTTATTTTTTTTGGCCTGTTTGACGAATGTGTGAAACAACGTTGTCCAACAATAAACTGGAATTTTATTTTGCTGGGTTGTTCTAACAATAACAAAAAAATTTGTGCATGTTGCATCTTAATAACAAAATTAATATAAAAAAGATGCCAGCCGTTTCTAGGAGCTAGTCAATGTACTTTTAATTAGTTAATTTTATTAAGACTTTATTTTTTCAGAGCAGTTTCAGGATCATAGCAAATTTGAGGGGAAAGTACAGAGATTTCCCATACACCCCCTGCTCCCACACACGCAGAGCCTTCCCCATTGTCAACAACCCCCTCCAGAGTGGTACATTTGTTACCTATGATGAACCTACTTTGGCACAACATGACCACCCAAAGTCCATAGTTTACATCAAAGTTCACTCTTGGTGTTGAACATTCTATGAATTTTGACAAATGTGTATTGACAAGTACACATCTTCGTAGTGTCATACAAAGTGGTTTCACTGCCCTAAAAATCCTCTGTGCTCTGCCTATTCGTCCTGTACCCCTCCCCCTGGCAACCACTGATCTCTTTACTGTCTCCATATTTGGCCTTTTCCAGAATGTCGTGTAGTTGGAATCACAGTGTGTAGTCTTTTCACATTGGCTTCTTTCACTTCGTAATATGCATTTAAGGTTCCTCCATGTCTTTTCACATCTTGACAGCTCATTTCTTTTTAGTGCTGAATAATACTCCACTGTCTGGGTGTACCACAGTTTATTTATCCATTCACCTACTGAGGGACATCTTGGTTGCTTCCAAGTTTTGGCAATTACGAATAAAGCTGCTATAAACATCTGTGTGCAGGTTTTTGTGTGGACATAAGTTTCCAACTTTAGGTAAATACCAAGGAGCATGAGTGCTGAATCATATGGTAAAAGTATGTTTAGTTTTGTAAGAAACTGCCAAACTGTCTTCCAGAGTGGTGGCACTGTGTTGCATTCCCACCAGCAATGAATGAGAGTCCCTGTTGCTTCACACCCTCGCCAGCATCTGGTGTTGTCAGTGTTCTGGATTTTGGCCTAATAGGTGTGTAGTGGTATTTCATTGTTTTAATTTGTACTTTCCATGATGTGGAGCGTCTTTGCATCTGCTTACTTGCCATCTGTATATCTTCTTTGGTGAGGCGTCTAAGGTCTTTGGCCCATTTCTTAATTGGGTTTTTTTTTTTTTTTTGGTGAGGAAGACTGGCCCTGAGCTAACATCTGTGCCAATCTTCCTCTATCTTATATGTGGGACACCTGCCACAGCATGGCTTGATGAACAGTGCACTGATCTGCGCCCAGGATTCAAACCTGTGAACCCCAGGCCACCAAAGCGGAGTGCATGAACTTAACCACTACGCCACCGGGCCAGCCCCAATTGGTTTGTTTTCTTATTGTTAGGTGTTATGAGTTCATTGTATATTTTGGATAACAGTCCTTTATTAGATGTCTTCCCCCCACTCCCGTTTTATTGAGAAATAATTGACATACATCACTGTTTAAGTTTACGGTGTACAGCATGACGGTTTGCTTTACAGATATTGTGAAATGACTACCACAAGAGGTTTAGTTAAGATCCATTATCTCATATAGATACACAGATGTGTCTTTTGCAAATATTTTCTCCCAGTCTGTGGCTTGTCTTCTCATTCTCTTGAGAGTTAATGTATCTTTAACTTCACAAAATCCAGAAAGTGGAACAAACAAACAAGCAGCACTTTTGGGAGCAAAGTTCCCAAGATTTAGCCATTAAAAAAAAAAAAAAATGACTTGAAGGTGGGGCTGCATGGGCTGTGCAGGCCCCACAAAACGAGGCAGCCATCTCCAATGGCTGGTTTTGGAAGGCTGCTCCCTTCAGAGAAGAGCCCTCGTGTCCCAGCATCTGCGACCACCAGGAAGCCTGTAGCTGCCACTGCAGTAGGTCGTGGTGTGTCGTGATAAAACAACGCAGAGCGGGCCATGGAGCTGGTGGCTCAGCGCTGGACCGTCTCACTCATGAGTTTAGCCTCAAGCCATGGGTCCTTGGAACTTGGAGCTGTTGAGTCTCATATGGGACAGGGCCTGGGAATGTGTATCCTAAAGTCCCCCCACAACCCCACCTGTGATCCTATCAGGCAAACTCAGGAGAAGCTGGCTATGCCAACGGGGCGGCCGCCTACCTGACTATATTTGCCCACAGAGAAGGGCCCAGATGTCCTCTGTCTCCAGGTCTCAGCCATGTGGAAGGCTCTGGAGCCTCCCCGACAGCATAGGCCAGTCTGAGGCACCTTGCTACCCCTCACCCCGGCCCTACATCACAGGCAATCAGTTTACCACACATACAAAAGAAAAATAATTATTTTATTTAAAATAGCAAGACTTTGGCCTTGACCCAGACAGTCAGGGTTTTTATTACAATTCTACAGGTGCAAAGAAAACCTCACGCTATGTCATTATGCCACGACGGGCAGTTTGTACATACGTTTTTTCTTGTCATGGACATGTGAGGAGCCCTGTCTGCACCCTCAGACTGGGCCAAATAGTAATCTTTATTAAAAAACAACACAAACAAAAGCAACTCAGAAGCACAAAGAGGCAGAAAGTACCTGGTAAACCCGATAGAAAGACCAAGGTTTGGAAAGTGCCCAAGAGGAGGGGGCTCTGAGCTGAGTACACACTGTAATGGGACCATAGCACCTGTTCAGGCTGAGGTTACACATCCCTAACCGAGGGATGAAGGTGGATAAACATGAACGACACTGAGAAGTGAAAGAGACCCACTGGGGCCAAGCAAAGTATAAAAGGAACACATCTTTGTCTCGCCGTGATCAGAAGCAAGAGCCCTTTCTAGACTTTGAGGATGCGACTTCATTCCCATACATCCTTCAGTTCTGAACTCTACCCACCCAGCTAGACTGATCCAAGAAAGAGGGGATGTTGTTGTTTTCAAGGTTGGTGAGCCAGACATTCGGCCCGTCAGCACTGGACCTGGCCCCTGGCCTCAGGCCCAGGCACTGGACGAGCCCCTCCCCTGCCCCACGGTCTCCACCAGTCCTAGTAACCCAATGACCTGTCTGCAGAGGAAGCTGAAATGGAAATACCCAGGTGTAACTTTGGGGTTTAACTTTTGGGAGGTTTTTACAAAAGCAGACAGCACAGCAGCAGCATCGAACAAGTGGAATGAGAACTTGAGGGAGCCCCGGGCAGCCAGAGATGCTCTTCTCTGAGCCCCCGACTCCCTCTGCAGGCCTTTCCCGACTGCGGCCTGTGGAGCAAACCCAGGTCTCGCTGGGTCCTGGGGAGGCCACGCCCAGCAGGCAGCTGGCACTGCACATCAGAGCCAAGGCCTCTGGGGCCCCCTTCTGAGCAGGACTTACTCTAGCATCACACGCACACACCCCCGCCCATACTCCAACTCAGCTGTGAATCATTTTTTCTTGCAGCAAGCAACTTCCTGAATTTCTGCTGCATTCTAGAAGCTAACGTGAGGGTCTTTACCAGCTATGTGCCCACGATCTGCTGTAACATCTTTAGGGGAACCCCAGATTCTCCTAGATTCCCCCAACAGAGGCCATTTCTGTAAGGAGATTGCCCTTCTCACAAGGAGCTCTCTGTAGGGCAGCCCAGAGCTTTCTGTGAATCCTAAGGGGATGTTCACCTCTTGCTCGTTTTCATAAAGAAAGCTTTTTTTAAAGGAAACCAAAAACGAGCGTTTTGGACCCACTTCTGTAGATGACTACTCCTTTCAGATTCTCTTCCTGTTACAGATTTTGCTTTTTAAAGTAAAACAGGAATCAACAGTACGGTGTGGCTTTGGTTTTAATTCAGAACCGTTTTTACGGGTTCAGAAAACGATTTCAGTTTTGCAGCGTTCTCATGGAACCCCAGGGAGGGACAGCTGTCAGGTCAAGTTGTGCTGTTCCTCCCAGAGCCTCCCGCGGTGGCCTTTACACCTCTCGTTCTCAGACAATGGCTTCTGTGACTTCACAGAGAGATCGTTCTGAACTAAGAGGAAAGTGCTGGTGGAAGGGCCACAGAACACAGAGACAGGTGCTTCTTTCAAATCCCTTTAAAGGTAAATAATCACCCCATGACACATGTGTCACTTCTCCCAACCAACTCCCAAAACCTTCCCCCTCAGGGAGGAATCAGTATTTGGATCATTCACTAACTCTCTGGTCACCTTGCCTATAAAACATAAATTAGGAAGTGAATGAGCCAGGGCCCCTCCCAACTGACCCTCCTTTCAGTCTCCACACGCAGACCCAAGAGACAGTGGGGCGTCCGCAGGGACTCCCCGCAGCGGCCTCCTCTTGTCCTTGCTCCAGCCTTGCACTGGGGGAGGGAGCGTGAATTTTAACTGACCGGCCTGGGCTTGAAACTCAAACACAATTTCTGTCCAGGGTTGGCACCCCACAGAGGATGGGGAGGCTCCACTGGCGGCCCTGAGCAGCTTTGTTGGGCTGTGCTCACGGTGGTCACCAGAAAACCCTGAGGGAACCTTCTGCCTGGTTAAAGCTCACTGGCTCTTTTGTTGACCAGCAAAGCTATCCAAGGAAAGCCTGGCTCTCCAGGGAATCTCAATGCCCTGACAAGCCAGGAATCTGCTCCATGGTTTCTAGGTGGGGCATACTCTGGTACCCTGACATTTTATTTAGGATGGGGGCACAGCGTACGTCTCTCTTCATGCTTTTCCCACAGGAGTGGGTCCCTCAAATTGTAAACAGTGCTGTGTGGTCAAGAGGCCAACGACCACTGGACCATGAGGCAACCTGGCAGTGACCGCGGACCCCTGGTTTCCCTGACTCTCACTGCCAACCCTCACGCAAACAAACACCCCAAGTGCAGCGGGACGCGGCTGTGAGGAGACGGGCCGCCGGAGGGTCTAGGAGGTAGAAGAAGCTGAGTTTGCGGCTGCCCCCACCAGCGGGCAAGAGCCTCCATGGCGGGAGGTTACAGTGCAGCAGACATCCAGCCGCTCTGGCGGCAGGGACTCAGAGATCGCCTGTCCCCAGGTAGGCAGCACCTATGCAAGAACTAGGAAGAGAAGAGCTCAGGTGCTCGGAAGTTCATCTGGGGTCCATCTGGGGCCCTGCGGTTCTCCCGTCTTGGAGGGCGCAGGAGCCTGGGGCGGGCCAGCCGAGCTCTCAGCGGAAGGCTGGGAAGAGCAGCGGCAGCAGAGAGAGAAGAGCCGAGTTCGGACGGCGCGGGTGCAGAGGACGAACATGATGCAGTTGGCGCCTCCCTGAAATGTGTTCCCGATACCCTGTGAGGGAGAAAAGAAGAGGCATGGGTGCCGGGGCTGGGGTGCTCCTACCAACACAAGCAAGGAGGCTGGGAAGTGCTGCGCACCCCACAGACTTGTCCTTCTCCCCTTGAGCCTGGTCTGCAATGACCTTGGCCACGTGGGCCTTTGGCAGAGCTCTGGGCAGGCCTGAACTTGCAGGCCTGGCACAGACCTGTCTCTAGGTCTTCCAGGTTGGGAAGGACCCAGGATCAGTCAGCTCTCCTGGGCCACTGGACAGCACCTCGATGCCCCTGGGTTGCACTAGAGCCACAGTGACCCTCCACCTGTCTTGGGCAGGGAGGAAGGCAGAGGGGAGCTGAGTGGATCCCCAGTTGGGATGCACCCAGGCTGCTGGGGGAAGGGATCTGTCCCTGCCGCTGGCAACAGCAAGGGCCAGGGAGGGCAGACCTACATGCAGAACGACCAGCACTGGCGTCCGCACCGCCGGGGAGCCACAGAGGGTCAGGACGAATCGCACGGTGCTCCAGACCCGGAGGAAAATGAAGATGAGTGGGATGAGGACCAGCTTCTTATCGGCCACGGAGGTGTGGCGCTGAAGCTGGTGCGCCTCGGAGACGATGGGCCGGTACTCAGAGAGCGCCTCGTGCTGTGCAGGGAACATGGAGAACAGACAACAGACGTGAGCCAAGGGGCTGCCTGTCTTCCCAGGGACTTGGACTAGCTGGAGGAGGAGGAGGTGACGTGTGCAGTGCCTTTCGACCTGGACACCGGAGCCCCAGGTTCCCACCTGGAGCCCGGATCCTTCTCCTGAACTCCCGTCTCCCTGATCCATGCCTGCTCCACGTCTCCACACGGATGTCTACAACACGTCTGAAATTTCTCATGTCAAAAACGGAACGCCCAATCTCAACCCCCAAGCCTACTGCCCTTCCTGATCTCAGCTAATGGAAATGCCCTCCTCCCAGCTGTCCAGGCCAAAACCTTGGGAGTCGCCTCTGATTCCCCTCTTTTTGCTACAGCCCCATGGCACAGGCTAGTCCTCCGGGCTCTACCTTCAACAGAGATCCAGAGTCTGGATGTTCTGTCCACTGCCGCTGCCACCAGCTCGCGCCAAGCACCATCACCACTTCTCCGGGTAGCGGCAACTGCCTCTTAACTGGTCTCCCCCTGCCGCCTTACCACCCGACCCCCTCCCCACTACAGTTTTCCTCTCAGCACAAAAGCAGCATGGCTCCGGTTAAGTGCACACGCTCCGCTACTGGGGGCCCGGGTTCGGATCCCGGGTGCACACCGAGGCACTGCTTGTCAGGCCATGCTGTGGCGGCATCGCATATAAAGTGGAGGAGGATGGGCACGGATGTTAGCCCAGGGCCGGTCTTCCTCAGCAAAATAGAGGAGGATTGGCACAGACGTTAGCCCAGGGCTGGTCTCCCCACAAAAAACAACAAGAAAAAAGCAGCCCGGCTCCTGGAAGACCTAAGTCGGATCAAGCCAGTCTCCCACTCAAAGCTCCCGGTGGCTCCCCTTCCACCATCCCGTACAACGTCCCCAGCCCCGGTCAGCTCTGACCTCCTTCCTCCTGCTTTCCTCCTTGTTTACTTCCGCCACACAGGCCTCCTCATTATGCCCCAAACATGCCAGGCACACCCCGCCCCAGGGCCTTTACACGACGAGCTGGGCCCTCTCTCTGCAGTGCTCTCCTCGGTGCATCTACGTGGCTCACTCACTCACCCTCTTCAAGTCTTTGTCGCCTTCTGGATAAAGCCTATCCTGACAACCCTAGTGAAACTGCAAAGGCGTTGCCCAGGTAGTCCCATCCCCATATCCAGCTCTCTATTTTTGTCTGTTTTTCTTAGCTCTTATCATTCTTCCTAGACATCATTCATCCTTGTTTATCAGGCCTATTGCTCGTGATGCCCCTCCCCCTCCAGAGTACAAGCTGCCCCGGGGCAAAGGCCTGCTATGTCCCCACCGGCCTGCCCCACAGGAGGGGCTCCATCTAAAGCTGGGGCAGGAAGAAAAGGCCAGCAGGCACCAGCTTTGGCTTCCCTGCCCCTGGGGATGCCCTGCAGTGAGAGGAAGGGGGACGCCCCACTCTCAGAAAGCAACTGAGTTTGTAAAAATAGATGAAACTACTCATAACAGATGCGTTTTTGAGCCTGGTCCTGTGTCAGAGACACTGACGGCCCAGAGGAGGGGAGAGGCCACACACCTTGGCATCTCCGGGCACCCAAGCTGCTGCAACTCACCTGCTCAGAGCACCCGCCCCCTCCCCGGAGCCTTCAGCAGCAGCCCAGCGAGCCGTGCGCCCACCACCCCTCCAGAACCCAGTGGGAGCCATGCAGGGTGGGGGTAAAGCTGGGCGCCAGCTAGGGCTCCTGGCCGGCTGCTCTTCAGAACGAAGCTCCTCCAGCTCACTAAATTTTAGCTCTCCTTCTGAGCTAGAGGCAGGGAACACTGTCTTCACCCCCTGCCCACCCTTCTTTCTTTTTTCTGGTAACACTTGTGGAGCTGTAAGAGAGAACCCATGCTTCCTGCCCGGCTACAGGAAGGAAGCAGACAGACACATAGAAGGGCGGCTCCAGACGGGCATCCTGGGCAGAGCCTGGTGGAGTTCAGGGAGCCCAGGACCTTCCCAGGGCAGTGGGAAGAGGAGGAGGTGAAAAGGTGCTCCGGCCCAGGCAGGAGACCAACTAGAAGAACACAAGCAGACAAAGAGGGCTTCAGACCAAGTGTAAGCCCTGGGGGCTCTGGGTCCACGATGCCAGCTGAGCCAGAAGGGGCGGCGGGGAGGGGTGAGGATTAGTTGAATTTCTGAGTAAAAGGGGAACCAGAAGTCTCGACTGAGAAGACACAGATGGGAGCACACGGTGGGGATCAGGCGTCACAGCTGTGCGGAGTACCTGACAAACCCGGAAACGGCTGCTGAGCCAACAGGATGCCCTGAAAGATGGGGACACACTCTCCTACAATCTCAGCGTTGCAACTCAGGGCCCTAGCCACCCTCAGGATGAGCTTGGTAGTCTGTTTTCAGAGCTTTCCTGTGAACCTACCTGACTGCTCCAGCCACTGGTCCAATCTGAGTTCTCACCATCGCCACACAGAGCTTTGTGTGTGCAGAGGCTCAACAAAAGTGTACTGACTAAACGACCGAGTGGCTCAACGATGGGTTAATCCGAGGCTTGTTTGTAGCAGTTTGCGGCTGGGGAAAGCCCATACTTTACATTTGCATAACTGCTAGTCAAGAACAAGAAAAAAACTGGCCAGATTGGTGGAGGAAAACCATTCTTTCCTAGAATTTCTGGCCAGCCCAGCCTATTGGTTTATGAATTCCTGAAAGCCTGAAAAATCTATCGTTTAGATATAATTTTAATCATCAAGCACAATGAAGAGAGTTATTGGTATCACTGATTATGAATTTCCCTGGCCTCCCCTCCCAGCAGCAGCCCAGGTCAGTTCCATTGGGACTCTGCTCAAATTCCTCTTGAGGCTGAGCGACCACGGCGGTCTGTCCAGGAGGGGGCAGCAGAGGGCTGTGGCCGGGACACAGGCTGAGCCCACAGCCTCCTGGATTCCACAGCAGATCCCTCCTCAGGAGCTAGGCGAGTTTGGGGAGCCCCTTAGGCTCTGTGAGCCCCCGTTTCCTCATCCACAATCAGAGGGGTAACAGGACCCACCCCTGACAGGGCTGCGTGATTAAACCAGACAACCTATGATGCATGTGTTCTATCTACGGCACTGTGCCTGACACATTTGCAAGCCCTCGGTCACTCTGGCCTGTTACTAGTTCTGCCCCCAGAGTGAGAGCCTAAGGTGGCCGACCCCGAGGCCGGGACACCGGCACAGTGGCCACACAGAGCTCTGGGCCGGGGCCTGAGGGTGGCTGTGGCACCTACCGCTCTGTTTATGTGCTTCCGGATGAGCAGGTAGAGCACGGGCAGCGTGATGTAGGCCAGCATCTCCCACAGCTTCCCGGTCAGCAGCATCCACAGGACGCGGTCCTCCGCCTCCAGGTCGATCCAGCACCAGCCCACGGACACGTCCGAGAAGTCGTAGCCGATCTTCTTTAGAAAGACAGCTGCCACGGTGATGGCCAGCGGAACCCCCCAGCTGAGGAATTAGGAACAAATAGGAGCAGAGAGGTCAGGCCCCGACTCCCAGCAAAGCCAGCATGGGTGTGATGAGCGGGCCACCCGGTAGACAAGGAGAGCAGTGCTGTCCGAAACCTGGATCAGACGGTGTCCCTGGAGGAAAAGGGGCAGAGTCCTCAACTCCCCCAACACAGCCCTGCTCTGCCCGAACCCCGCCAAGCCCACCCTAACCCCTCGGAGCCCAAGTAAGAGGACACAGGGGACGTCCTGGCCTCCTGCCTGGACAGACACACCCTTCCAATGCCCAGAAGTTGGGTTCTTTTTTTTTTTGGGGGGGGGGTGAGGAAGATCGGCCTTGAGCCAACATCTGTTGCCAATCCTCCCCATTTTGCTTGAGGAAGATTGTTGCTGACCTAACATCTGTGCCCATCTTCCTCTACTTTTTATATATGGGACGCTGCCGCAGCATGGCTTGACAAGTGGTGCATAAGTCCACGCCCGGGATCTGAACCTGCGAACCCCAGGCCACTGAAGTGGAGCGTGCAAACTTAACCACCACGCCACTGGGCCGGCCCCAAGAGGCCGGGTCCTAATTCAGAATTGCTGAGCTCCTTGGAGACTGGTGATAGAACACTGTGGCACAGAGAGGGCCGCTCCTTCCTGCCCCGAGGGGCCTGTGTGCCAGCGCGCAAACACCGGCCCCCTATCCATGCCTCATCCACACACCCTGCAGTCAGTCCCCCATGACCAGCCAAGGTCTAGGGGTGCATACACTGGTGGCTTGGGGTTGTCGGGGCGGAGAATTCCAGGAGCCCACGTGCCAGGAAAAGGATCTAGAAGAGGGAACACGGGCTTTGGGTGGACACATCTCCTTGGTCCTGAGGCTTCCTTGCTCCGGGGGTCGGGGTTGTCCCCTGGCAAGGGTCAAAGGGGGCCCTCTAAAGCATAGAGCCCAAAGCAGGGGCCCTCCCTCAGGGCAGTGCTGGGCTGACTTTTCTAGAGTTTACCCTGACAGCAACACAGCCATGACTAGAGCCGAGCCCCAAGGCCCCTCCCAGTGGTCCCTGCCCAGTCTCCCTGCAAGGCATTTTAAATCGGTCAGGGGGACACAGAGAAGCTACGTGGTGGCACAGCAGGGTGATGAAGAGCTGGGACTGAGATGCACGGGCAGGGTCCAAGCCTCGCTCTCCCCAACCTGGCCTCAGGATGTCAGTGTTTCTCTCTGCAAAGTGGGGGTGATAAGAGTGCCTACAGCGGAACATGATCGTCGGTCATCAGGAGAATAAAGTGATTAGTGTACGTCCAGTGCCCAGGACTGGGCGTGTCAGTGTCTGCGACCCCTGCTGTCCTGCCGTCCCAGGATTCGGGCCTGTGGTGCAGGCACCAGACACGCGTGAGGCCTGTGCAGTTTCTGCTCCAGGAACAGGACACACGGGCCTGTGTCCTAGGTCAGTCGCCTGGAAGACAAGCAGTATGTAAACAGGGCAGTGTCGTCAGTGAAATATTTAGCTCAGAAATCAGTGGTACTTGGAGGGTCCTGTGTAAGGGAGGTCAGCTCTTTCTGAAGACAGTCGTGGAGCAGGGATGAGAGCACTGTCACACATCAGTCTGTTGTCAAAACGAGGCCAGAAGTGCTGTTTCTCCCAGGGCTGCTGGGCTGTGGAGGATGCAGGGTGGGGATGGCAGGGAAGGGAGAAAGCCAAGCCCCTGGCCTGGACGCTCTCGGGACAACCTGCCCCTCGCCCCTTGCCGGCCTCCACAGGGATGGACAGGAGCGCAAGGGGACGGTCACCCGCGCCCTCAGTGTCCGCTTCCCCGACAGCTGGGAGGTGGAGGCAGCATGTCCTCCTCAAAGTCACAAGGGCACAGAAGGGGCAAAACCCCACCAAAGCTAAAGAGTTACAAGAAAGGCACCACGTTACACTCAGGAGTGTGTCCATTTTAAACGCTTGTTCTAGGCAAAGTTATTTATCTGGTAAGTTAATATATATTAGTGTCAAACTGCTTTGTTGTAACAAAGGGTCATCGTTTTAAAACCTATGCCATCCTGAGATTTTAGGACAAGGTACGTCACAGCTCTGAACTCCACAAGGGCGAGGCCATGTGGGTTCACGCTCTATCTCGGCATCTAGAACAGCACCCGGCACGCGCTGGGGGCAAAACAAGGGCCTGCTGAATGAATGAATGAAGTTTGAGCCATTCTGAGACTGAGACAGCTTTCCCCAACTTACTCCTTAAATTTTCACCACAGGGAAAAGGAGGTAAAAGGCTTTTGTGTGTGTGTGTGTGAGGAAGACCAGCCCTGAGCTAACATCCATGCCAATCCTCCTCTTTTATTTATTTATTTTTTCCCCCAAAGCCCCAGTAGATAGTTGTATGTCATAGTTGCACATTCTTCTAGCTGCTGTATGTGGGACGCGGTCTCAGCATGGCCGGAGAAGCGGTGCGTCGGTGCGAACTCGGGATCTGAACCCGGGCCGCCAGCAGTGGAGCGCGCGCACTTAACCGCTAAGCCATGGGACCGGCCCCCAATCCTCCTCTTTTTGCTGAGGGAGACTGGCCCTGGGCTAACATCCGTGCCCATCTTCCTCCACTTTATATGGGATGCTGCCACAGCATGGCCTGACAAGCAGTCCATCAGTGCACACCTGGGATCCGAACCTGGGCCGCCAGCAGCAGAGCGCGCGCATTTAACTGCTACGCCACGGGGCCAGCCCCAGTAAAAGGCTTTTAAAGTGCTGAAACTGCAATCCTGAAGATATATGTGTTTTCTCACCACTTTATGGTTTACAAGGTTCCTCCAAGGACTTGTGGGAAGCGGGAAAGCAGTGTGTGGGGACAGTGCCCCTGAAGGAGGCTGGACTGGAGCTGAGGACTCCCATTCAGGCTGGAAGGCAGGACCAGGCAGGGCGCGGTGGGAGGAAGGCACCCGAGTATGGGCAGCACTCCGCCCCTTGCCCTCCTCAGCATCCCACGGCCCTTCCAGGAAACCTGGGACCACACAGCCACAGACCCACGCTCTGTAACTTTAGGTTTGTTGTACTAAAGTTATAAAGTGATGTATCTCCTCTGTATTACTGGGGTGTGCCCGGTGCTGAGTTTGTGTTGAGAAACACCCAGAAAGAAGACCAAACAGGCAGAGGGCTTTGAAAGAATTAAGAATGTGGGTTTGATCAATCCGAGTCACTGAACTTAAGCACAGAAGGCAGGTATGGTGGGGAGGTATTCAAATGGGAGGTGGTAAGAAGAGATAATATCAGGGAGCCGGTGGGAATGGAGTGGGAGGGACAGTCTAATAATCCCACAAAGCAGGCTCAGCCAGACTCATAACTCATGGACACGGGCCCTGGTGTGCTGGTAATGGCTAACAACTGGCTCTCTGGAAAAAATGTGTTATGTATATATACACACACATATAAACTGATTATAAATTTTACTGATATAAAAGATGTGAAGCACACAATTTGTAAATAATAATACATAATACTCCTTATTGTAAATTGCATATAGCCAATTAATTCTCACAGAATGGTTGTGTTGATTTTTGCTAAACTTTGGCACCTGCAGCCAATCTATGGTTGCAATTAGCAAATGAGGGTAGTTCTATGACATGGGGTTGGTTGACATTTTCATTTTCCTTAACAAGTCAGATGAAAGTGAAATAAGGAAGACACAGGGGACAAGACGAATGCTGGAACTGCACTGGCTCGACAGTGACATGAGCAACTTCTCTGGGGGATCACGTAATTTTCCAACACCAGAAGAATATTTCTCTTCTTTTTCTTTTGCTCCGTGAAACTTCTCATCACCTGCTCCTCAAATATCCGGCTTCCTGCCTGCCCCTATGGCTGCCACCTCGGCTTAAGTTCAGAGACAAGTAACACTTGTCTCATCTTTACTATTAACATTTTCTCCATCACTTTTTGAAGTCTAGATCAGGGGTCCAGCAAACTATGGCCCTCAGGCCAAATCCGGCCCAAGGTCTGTTTTTTAAAATAAAGTTTTATTGCAACACAGCCACACTTGTTCATTTATATATTGTCTGTGGCTGCCTTCAAGTTACAACAGCAGAGCTAGGCAGTTACAACAGAGATCATATGGCCTGCAAAGCTGAAAATACTTACTATCTGGTCCTTTACAGGAAAAGTTTGCTGACTTCTGCTCTACAATCAACAAACCAATGAATCAAGCCCCCATTTGTAGTGTCTGCCAATTTCCATGGTGTAAATATTCCCACCATCGCCAATTTCAAGCCACCAACATTTGGGAAGCAATGCACAGTAGCACACCATCAAATAGTATTTCCATCACACAGACACAACAAATGCAAATAACCTCAAGTGCACAGATGATAGTAAAATAATTAGGACGTAATAATTTTGAGTATTTTTACTACTTTTGTTTTTAATATAACTGTAAGTTTATATACTGTAATTTTCATTAATGGTTGTATTTAACAATCAGCTCACAAAATGCCCTAAAATTTAACAATCTGGTCTTACAAGTTGGCTCCAGGACACCACTGGACAGAGGACGAAAAGGATAGGGAGCTGAAGATCCCCCAGGTTCTGATCTATAGAGTGAGGAGAAGGCAGGTATTCTGGGCAACCGCAGACAAGCCGAGCTGTTCTCTGGTCAGGTGGCCAACTTTGGCTGTAGGTGGTGTGAATTTGGAATGACATGTGTGCCCTAATTCCTGCTTTCCAGAAAGGTATACTTCCAATTTCTGACATGTATCATGTAATAGTTTTTTATCCCTCCAAAAAAATAAGCCATCCAAAACTAAACAAAATCAGAACAAATCAGACATAGCTTAATAACAGCACATGTGAAAAAGACCAAGGGCTTTAGTCGATTGTGACCCAGAAACTCGTGTGGTCAGAGGGGTCGCCCTGATGCCCAGATGTGGGCGGTTCAGAACTGCCAGTGAATTGTCCTGCCTCCGTGTGGCCACCTGCAATCCACATCCTAAACCTGAGATTGTGTGGAATACTACTCAGCCATAAAACAAACAAGATC